GTCGTGCATTATTTGCCGACTCTGGGACTGGTTGGAAAAAGCGGAGAGGTGGTCAGTATATGACATGGTGTCGTGGTATGAAAGAAAGCTGCAAAGGGCTAGCTTCTGTTGGTCCTTCACGACTCCCTGGTTGGGGTCCGAAAGACGGTGTAACGCAGTGGCTAGAGACCTTATTAGATATGGCTCAGAATAGAAGCCAGTGGCGATCCTGCTGTAACCTTCTTTTACTTCATAAAAAGTGGTTGTAACCAAGCCCCTACAATAGGCTTTCCCCGCCTATAATTCCGTTCACTAGAATAGGTCAAATAGGATTTTAAAATTACCTAATTTCTGATATCATGAATAAAAGTATTTCAACGTTCCGTGTAAGGATATTCTTTCTAATGATACTAAATGAGAGGGCCTTGGTTAGCAATAGCTTACGAGTCTAAATTAGTCTTGAAGTTTAACGATATGTGTAGATTCATTCACCTGGTAATATGGAGCTAAATAACTCAGTCGTTTAAAATTCTTTCTACGCAGAAGCCCTGAACAATAATTTTCCATATGATTTGAAGGTAGTAGTGTGGTTGCTTTGAAAACCCATTAATTAACAACAAAATTCCACCCAAGGTCAGTGAGAGAGGAAAGTAAATCGACAGAAAGCTGTATGAATTCGTCATCTTAGTACAGCTGACGTTATAATTAAGCATGTAGAACGTCTCTAATCACGTGAACAAAAACGCCTTATTTGGCCACCGTCTGTCATACGTTAATTTATGTCCTTGCAAATCACCCTATTTTTCAACTCTAATCTCAATATTTTATAATCGTGCATAACTTACCATCCAATCTCTCTGGTATATAATTGACAAACCGTCATCAAATACATCACTATTCCGATTTTTTTCTACATTTAATAAATTTTTCTATACGACGAAACAATGTTAAGGTCTAAGAAATGAATAAGCTTGAGAAGATAACAGTGAAGAAAATCATCTCATTGGATTACTCGTTTTCGAAATGGTTTATTTCCTGAATAATCACATGATTTGAAATTGATTCTCAGTAATGTATGATATTATTAGCTTTATACATTTGTCACTCTATTTTATGACCCCTACTGATGGAGAGTCTCAAACTAGATAGAAACAGCTCTCCAGCATATTCAATGTTACACACCTCTGGTCTGACTTTTCCATAAGGAACACGAAGCTACTTACGAGTACTATGAATGCTTGTAAAAAATATTACACATAACGATGCAACATTGGTGATTCCAATAAAATTCCAGTGACACTAATTTCGCCAGTAAACCGCATTTTATTGATTAAAATGTATACTTTTTGTTAGCTGAATCTAAAACTTCGGATAGTAAACATGAACAACACCCTAGTGCATCAATTATGAGTAATTCACTGTCAGTGGAAAAAATTACTAATAATTTTCTTTACAAAGAAGTGTACAAAGAGGTGTACAAATTAACTGACTGTGGCCAAATGGTATGTTCAGTACGATAATCATCGTGTATCAACAAAAGGATCGATCTTCAAGTGAAGTTTAGAAAAATTCTCTCTGGGAACTGTTTTTTGCCAATTCTCAGCTTTTGGAACATCACGTAACATTTTCTACACTTAACAATTTCATTACAAATAGAAAAAACAACTACCCTTAAAACTTTGAAATGCTGGTATTTAAGTTACTTCTACTGTACTATTAAAATTTAATTAGTTAAGATTCGTGCAGTCAGCTCTAAGTTACACTGTTTGTAATGAAAATTAGCTATAATACTCGGATATTTTAACCGAATCATAGATTTCATCTACAAAAAGTGACTAAACGTCAGTTACTCTAACCACACAGCTGCTAAATACAAAACGCAATAAAATTTGAATGCTGATATATCTCTGAACAAAGAGAGTGAAATATTAGCTTACTGAAATTCATGTTTGTACATAGTTTGTTTTGAAAATTTCAACATAGAAGTGACTAGAAAGTTCAGTTTAGATTGAAAATGTAAGATAATATTTACTGATACATATGAAGTTTCCGTACCTTGAGTTATATGACTGATCAGACAATCATATTATTACAGCTGTGATTCTAACTAGAAATGAGTATAATTTATTTTCCAAGGTAGCCATCAACAAAACTTACCTTGAAATTTCACTTACATCTTCCATAACACGGGATAGAAGTATTAGCCAATTAGATCAAATTAAATTCATTTCAGCTTCTAAATATTGGTAGATGTTAAAACTTTGTAAGGTGATCTGGACCTAGCTCAATTTAACACAGTATCACATAAGTAATTCATAAATCTCATATAAAAATTTGAAAACCGTCGTAGAATATTCAAGAATATAAGATGTTGGAGTGAACAATCGTTTTCAATAACTTCTTCGTCAGGCTGTATAGTTATAAATCCGAATCATTATTGTGTTAAAATAAAAGAACTACTTAAGTGAGATTAATCCATGTCATCAATTGAAAGTGGAAAATATCACGTCAATTGAGTCTTAAATACTAAGAATTACCAGCAAAAAGTATACCGTCATCAGTAATGTTAAGAGAAGGATAAAGAAAATTACGTCTTAAGGTAATGATTTCTAATCAATAAGTTAAAATCGTACATGAAAGCAAGTTAATACAAGATAGGGACTTTTGTCTTAGTTGTAATAATAATAGGATGAAGAAGAACGACAACAACAACGACTATTAATAAGAATATCATGTACAATAAGATGATTGAGTGATGAGCGACTAAAAAATCTCATGGAATGAGTGCAATCCATAATGAAGAGACAGGGGAAAACATTGGAACTACGAATGAAACAACCGTAATGTGAGCTAAGGTAAACAAAGAGTTTAGATATATCGTTTAAGTATATATAAGTAAGGTTTCGTTGAATTGGTGCCAATTACTTCAGCCATATATTACGTAACATTGTACCTTTTGGTAGATTACTAGGAACTTGATTTATAACTGAGAAGGCATCTACAATTATAATGTTATATCCACGATCAATTAAGTAGGAAATAATGGCACTATCAGCATAATTCGTGACGCTATTACACAACCCAGAATGGTTAGAAAAAGACGTCATGAGAAGTTTTCTCTTCCTCACGCATTACAAGCTGCACTTTTTCCAAGATACTTTTAAATCGCTTATTATCCAATCATCTTTCTTATTTTACACGATATTCTTATTAATAATTATACCTATAGTCATTAAGACCCCAAACACCCTGGTACGACTGAGGGTATGGAAAGTCCGCTCACCCTCCCGAAATACTTTCATATGGCCACATGTATACAGCCACTACTAGAAAATTCCCACTCATTGACTTCTCACGGTGAGCTTATTGCGTACGAAATCTGGAGGACGAATGCGAATATTCGATGCTTAAACCGGGTTGGTGGGTACGGAAGATTCACCTAGATGAGTTAAAAAGCCCTGGCTACATTTCGACAGTGCACATGGGATCTAGGATGCTGAGGAAAAAATGGTCTATGAATCTGTCAGAGGGCAGCATTTCATAACGTCCCTTTTCTGTCTCGTAAACTACACCTCTGGGTCAGTGTTAAGAATTGGCCACCTGAGAGAAACATCGGCTTTGGTCTGGGCATCCGGGCAGTACTTTAGCCCATACAAACTAAGTAACTACAAAAAATGATTCTCGCTCCAGTCTTCATTCTCATAAATTATACTTACAACTGTTAAAAAACATTCGATTTTATTCTGCATTGCTTCACCTATTTTTTTCCTTTATTCCCTTCTTGAGCATTCTTCCATTTTTCAATTCATACAGCAGTTTATCTACGTGGAAATCCTCCTATGTCCAAATTATCCCAAGTCACTGACAGGTAGAAAATCGAGTGCTTTCACTGAATACAAATTCTATATCTCAATGTCCGTGGATAAGAACGCGTGAGTTCTTTTCGCACCAAAAGGTGTGAGATTATGTAATATATGGCTGAAGTAATTGGCACCAATTCAACGAAACCTTACTTATATATACTTAAACGATATATCTAAACTCTTTGTTTACCTTAGCTCACATTACGGTTGTTTCATTCGTAGTTCCAATGTTTTCCCCTGTCTCTTCATTATGGATTGCACTCATTCCATGAGATTTTTTAGTCGCTCATCACTCAATCATCTTATTGTACATGATATTCTTATTAATAGTCGTTGTTGTTGTCGTTCTTCTTCATCCTATTATTATTACAACTAAGACAAAAGTCCCTATCTTGTATTAACTTGCTTTCATGTACGATTTTAACTTATTGATTAGAAATCATTACCTTAAGACGTAATTTTCTTTATCCTTCTCTTAACATTACTGATGACGGTATACTTTTTGCTGGTAATTCTTAGTATTTAAGACTCAATTGACGTGATATTTTCCACTTTCAATTGATGACATGGATTAATCTCACTTAAGTAGTTCTTTTATTTTAACACAATAATGATTCGGATTTATAACTATACAGCCTGACGAAGAAGTTATTGAAAACGATTGGTCGCTCCAATGCTTTGAATACAAAAAAGAATATCAGATAGGTTTGAATATGACAAAATGTTTATGAAGCGTCCATTATTTTGTATTTAAAATCATATTGTATATAAGCCACAAATAACACTATTGTTTTGTATGTAGTAACATGGATGTACATAACTTAAAATTTGTTACAAAAGTTTATTTGCAAAGTACATACCGAGGTAATATCCGATCTTAGATAGTTGAACACTCCAACCACCTAACAGCAGTTTATTTCAATTCATCTCCTATTTGGTCACTTAAAGTATTGGCTTAATTCTAGATCTATGTATAATTTTCGAAAATTTACTAAACAATATTTAACGGTACAGTTTTCTCTGAGATAGATAAATTAACAGTAAAGTTTTCACTATATTTCTATACAATATCAATCCATGGTCCTGGAAATTTTGCAAGTAATAAGTAGCTATCAATCCTAGAGTATCATTAATAAGGTTAATTAGAATTTATCTTTCGTCAGACATTAAGGGTAAAATGTATTTAACCAATTCCATTCATCAGTTAACCTTCAACTATATTCTGTTTAGTTAAGTGACTAAGAATATCATATACAGATCAATCAGTCAAAATTGTGTGATATATAAAATAACAAGTACACAAGGGTGATGAAACGAATCCTTGTATCAAATGAAATATCTTTTAGACAAATGAGAATACAATTATAGCCATAACTTTTAAAAAATTCAGAAGGATTGAGATGACGATCATATTCTTTTTTTCGTCGAAAAGATGAAATACCAACAGAAAAGAGACTACATAAATATTGATTTCGTTTAGTTCGTTTTCGTTTGATTATCAAGTTTGTATCTGTAATTATCCCAACCTTCACAACATGGCTGTTTAATATGTCGAAATTTTTGACAGCATTCAATAAGTGAAATTATTTCTCTTGTACATCGAGTAACATCGAAATCATTCCCTAGTCAAATTGTAACAACAATAGATGCAATAAGTTTAGTAAAGAATACTTACTAATTAAACAACTTTGAATTTTACATGCTAAAGGTTTACACGGTATATCCATGCTGCATGTGGAATTACTAAAAAAAGAGAAATTTGTCTCAGTTATTATTACATTACATAAATTTAGTGACAGTATAACTGCTAACTTTCTAAAAATGAATATTTGAGTAAATTACATTATTAAATCAAACAAGTGGGAAATATTTTGTTATTTTGGCATGAAAATTAAGGGAAACAGGTTTTCAATGAAACACAAAGAAAAACTAGAAATCTTGTGAAAGACTAAAATCAGATTCTAGCAATGAAAATGGTAAGTACTACGGAAGTACCACTGATGATCAAGGAGATATCATGTATGCTTCAAGAAATGATGAAGAGTAAAAACTTTACTTAGTAGTAAGCTTGAAAAAGCAATATTTTGTAGCGTATAGACATACCGTTTGAGGAAAAATGGAAGCATTTTGTGGATATATTTCAGATGGTCTATACAGTTGAAAATAGAATAAAAGTTTCTGTCTAACGAGCGTACATATCTAGTAGCAATGGATAACCGATGGCTCCAGGCAGAGACCTAGGTTTATGAATATAACAAAGTTCCTTTTGAATGACTCCTGAGGATTCGCCTAGAGGACTTCAGCTAGTAACAAGGTCAAAAACTTGACTACTCGTAAGGAGTAGACGCTACGCCTGCAGTTCGGTTTATTGCATTATACCTTTAATTTACAGTTATTCCCCCTAGGGCCGAGTTGGATTGGAAATGAACTTGAGTATTTCAGAGGATTCCGGGAATGTTTAGAAGCCAGTAAATCATTAAAAGGGTCGTTTCCGAATCGCTTATATGCTATATAATCTTTCAGGTTATTACGGTCAGGATAGTAAGAGAATAAAAAAGTAAATAGCGAAAATAAACCTAATGCAGCTGTTTGTAGATAATTTGCAGTATCTAGTAATGATTAGAACAGGAACTGTTTTAAGCAATTAGCTCAGATAACATTTTTGAGAAGCTATACAACAAAGAAAGTGAGGTTTCATCGTGAAGTTGAATAAAATGGCCGTATCGTACCTACTGCCTTGATATGGTACTCATGTTTATCTATGATCCAATCGGCTTATACCTGTTTGAAAACTTATTTCTTTAGGTCCTATAACGTCAGGTGGGTCGGATGAAGAAAATCAAGACTAAAGGCAAGAACTTGACGCCCTAGGGTTAAACCATACTGTCGACTTTACTGTGTTGTGGCAGTCAGGTGTTTTCTTTAAACAACATGGATCTGCAATTGAGCTGGCCTCTCATAACAGAAGGAAAGGTTCAGAAAAGGTAGACTCCAAACATATTACACCTTACCTAAAATCTCGGAGGCAAAGCCTACTAAGTACAGGGCGAAACCCAATAACTCATCACAAATAAGTTTTGAAACCAGCCTCGAGCAGTTATCTCTGCAGATCTGCTATCACGCCCCTTAGTAGTTACGATCAAAACTACTTCAGCTTCATGTTCAAGTGCCAAATGAATAAGCAACCTTTCTCGATGTAGGCAACAGAAAGGTGGCATCCTCTTTCTAACTTCCGTAATACGTTATTCACTGATCTAATTAACACAAAAGTTTATATACATATACATACATTACTTTAGATATGGGAATTTAGAAATAAGTTAGTGAACGACAGGACCGGCAATCAATCAAGAATACTGACTAATTTAATGAATCTCCTAAAACCTGAATTTCAAGCATTGTCGATGGAACTTCTGAAATATAAGAGTAATAAATACAATAAAAGTGGTTTGTCGTGTCTATGTACGTGTGTTCATATATTTATTTAGATTTATTTTAGAATTACTAATTACTGTATATTTTAATTTTGCATCTGGCTTCACAAATACTCATTGACGTCCAAATAAATTGTTTCACGTAAAATTCGCCAGACCTTTTGCAATTTATTTGGCTACCTAGTTTATAAACCTTTAGCAAGGTAACCCCAAGGATCTCTTGAGGTATTAGTTGGTTTAGTATCTTTTATCAACCCAATGTCATGTTCAAAACGAGCTCTGGGTTCTGAGATTCACTCTCTTTGACTTGAAGATAACTAACCTGTCACTATGGTCAGTCTTTAATTTTTCAGCTACTGTTTGGGAGGCTGGTTTTTTTTTAGCAACACCAGGTCGTTTCTTATTCTTGATCCTTACCCATTCATCAACTTTGATTGGAGTAGCAATCACACTAGCGATATACACACTGTGGAGTCCTGGATAAGTGTCGATGACATGGGTATTCAGGTTGTTGTTTTTCCTGCTAGAAACAGACCCAGCCTTGCGACTAGGTTTTTAGGCGTTTGAGATGGTGGTATTCCCTACTTGTTGGTATTTGGCGGGTAGGGGACAGAAGGAACTTCCTTCTTAGAGCTTTTGTTTCCAAAAATTACCAATGTACTCAAAAGTATAGATGACAAATTGCTTTAGAAAAAACGATACTTTTGGTAACCACTAACTCGAAAATATTCAATTAAGGCGAAACCAGTAATCTTAACGCGTGATAAACGGTCGAAACAACAAAATTATCTCAGTAATGAGAAATATCAATGTTCTTTTTAAACAAAGCCCTGTCTGTGAACACTTTCAATAAGACAGATCGGCGAGACCTACTATAGTAGGTCCGTGGACATATAATAAGGATATATCCTTGTTAGGATGTATACATTCTAATTACTGTAGACTGAAGACGGATTATGGGCTGAGAGGATTCATGCGTTTAACATCCCCGAGCTCCCAATTTTAGGGAAAACTTTACCTATTTTGGGGGAATTTAGGAGAAATGGTACAAAAACACAAAAATTTCCCCAGGTCTGGGGAAGTTCCCGAAAATTACCCCAAAGCTCCCCAAAGTTGGGAGCTTGGGTCGTCTTTCCTATGTAGTTCAGGTTAGCTCACTAATCGTGTTAAAACTCTAGATCCTTTGTAATCCCATCAGTTTCTTGTAAAGCAAAACTCTCACAAAGTTCCACTTTGATTGAACGGCGCGCTAATTATAAAGGATAGTGGTATTTTTCCTCTGAGTATATTTTATAGTACTAATTGTTTGATTACGCATCAAGGCTACTGTTTTGCTCCAATTGAACTTAGTTTAGTTAAAGTAATCACCAAAAGTATTGCTTTTTTACAGAGCAGCTTATCATCTATACTTTCCGAGTACATATACAAAAAAGCACTGGTATTTGTTTTTCCTCAATGAATATGTCTTTTAGTTTTGTTTGTATCCACAAATGTTGAGGTCTCTTTGCAACTACTGAAGTCGTTTTTTTATTGTTAGGTACAGCAATATGCAAACCTCTGTTTTTGTTTGTGTTCAGTGTCTATAACCCATAAAGCCTTAAGAGACACTTATTCTAGAGATTAGTTTTCGTTGTTCTTCCAGTGAGATTACAAAACAATTTTATGGCACAAGTAAAACATTGTTGTGGCAGACCTGCATGCTTTATCCCGGTCGATGATGGGATGCAATATGGCAACTGCAGTAAGTGGTATCATAATGTTTGCACCGGACCCACAACGACTGCATATAAAAGGTGCTGAAAGCCAACATCACATTGGCTGTGAGAAGCATGTCGTTCGAAAAAGTCTCTGTTAATACTACACAAATCTGATTAAGTTGCCCTCAGATAAACAGGCAGCAGTAGATGAACTGAATTCAGTTTTCAAGGAAATGGGAAGCGTTATCATGAGCCCAGCTTTAAATTTGTATGAGACCATCAAGGTAGACTTATTAGAGAAGGGAATAATCAGCATACAGATGTAGGTTTTGTTACAATGATATAAAAGAAGCACTCTGAAATGAAAACAAATTATAGGCACTATGCTATATGAATCTGTATTGGCATTGGACCGTAGCCCTACGTCCTTTTTAGTCAAATATATAATTGCTGCAAAGATTTATATTTAACAATTTGCATAAGGAGAAGGTTACTCATGAGAAGATGAAAGGAATTAGTTCAATTCATTCATATGGCATGGCTCAGCTTTGCAGGCGTGATCATTCTTGTGTAACATATCTCTTCTATTCATATTAAATGTTTTGTTCTGTCTCCCGCACACATTTTTGATGATTAACCCTCCTGGAATCTCAAGCCCGGATAAAGTAGGAGGGTCGGGCGTGAGATTAACGACTCCATCCCGTAGAAAACTAACTCGCTAAAAAATACTAAACGGAAAAATTATTCAAGCTACTTAAACTCTGCTCTGGGAGTCAGAAGGTCTTCGTTTAGAAGAGTTATGATGCCTCATGGTGAAAGCCGAGTATTCGGCAAAAACCTGGAGAACTACGTAAGCCATCATCTAGAAGATACAGCTATTTCTTAACAGCTGTCTATGCAAGATACTTCGGATCCGTTGGCCAGGCACTATCAGCAACGACACACCAGACTCCAGCGGAGGAAGAAATCAGGAAGAGGCGCTGGACGTGGATAGCACCCGACCGCGTCGCTATGCAAGCCCTCACATGGAATCCTCAAGGCCAAAGAAGAGGAAGACCGAAGAACACATTACACTAAGAAATGGAGACAGACGTGAGAAGAATGAGCAACAATTGGATAAAAAGGAAGGCCCAGAACAGAGTGGGCTGGAGAATCTTGGTCGGCGACCTATGCGCCATTATGAGTAACAGGCGTAAGTGAAGATAGAACGAGCCAGTGTAGACAAGACGTGACTTCCACGTAAGATCTTATAGATTAGACAGTCACGTCATGATAAATCTACAATTTTAGGATTAGGTCTATTATTATAGTAGCACTAATAACTAAGTAGATCATAATTCTACAAATCTACGGTTTCACTTCTGGATTTACATATCAATGCAAAACAGACTGTGGAGGGAGCAAAGCCTGAGTGGTGATGATGTAATCAAGAAACAATATAAGATAAAACATTAGCTTACAGTCACACCCAGAAAAAGAAAAGTAAGGAAACAGAGTAAGATCTCTGTGTTTGACGTGCAATCCGATTGCACGTGTGTTAAGACGGACCACGCTGAGAGGTCGGTCACTTTTCATAGTTAAATGACAGTTCCGAAAAGGAACCAAAAGCTAGACTTGAGCACGACCTCAAACACGTTAATTCCTTAATAAGAAAGCTACCTCCAGAAACAATTTCAGGAGCTGACATCTGTAAACTTTATAGAATAGGACAAAAAAGAGATTCTGAAAGTACTTAGAAAAGCATCTGAAAGGTTACCTTTGCTTCGGTTGAAGGAAGAAACCTAATGTTGGGGAATTCACACAAATTAACTGGATCCGAAATATACATCCGTGAGGATCTCAGCCTGGTTGACAGTATTAAGAGACGATCGGTCGAAGTAGAAATAAAACGGTGAAAAAACCTCGTACTTAGGGGTCTTCAAACTGTAAAATTTCTGGGCAAATGATCCTTAAACCGCTCTGGGTGGTAAGGGAAAGTTGTCCACATAACTATAGGTGTACTAAACAAATGCCCGCAGCCCGCGAAGTCAAGTGACGGAGCTCAAGATAATGGTGGATGCAGAAAACCCGGATGTCATTTCTGTCTCAGAAATATGGTTAACGTCAGAAGTATTTGATAACGTAATTCAGTTGATTGGTTTTATTCCAGAAGGGTCGATATCTGAATCGTAGAGGAGGTGGAGTTATCCTGTACACTAAAAGTACTTTAACCATACGAGCTGTTGAGACAGTGGCACATAATTCAGGGACAAGTGAGTTAGTGCGTTGGAAGCTGAAATGTAAGCGGCAAGATGTTGGATTAGTCGCAGTATCTAGTGGCCTAAGATTTGACCCCAGTTAGACCGCATGAATGATCGCTGTCAAAATATACATCCTGACTATTCTCGTACATGATTATCGACTTAATCCATGTTAACGAATAACAGAATTAAATAAGCCAAATGCGACAATGAATTTCGAAGTATTTTGGGTCATTTTTCACTCAGGAGCCTCTTCTAGACGAATAACTACACCCAAATACAAAGTCAACAAATCGCCTGCTCTCCGTGAACTGAGGTCAAGACGATATACTTAAGGCTTTTAGCACTATAGACACTGAAAAGTCAGCAGGACCGGATGAACTATACCCTGAAATCCTTAGACAAAATACTCAGCTTATTTCAGCTACACTAACCTCGATATTCAACATGTCACTTGACCAAGGTGTGTTACCTATAGACTCGAAAGATGCAATCATAACTTCCATACATAAAACGGGACCAAGATAACCTCCATCGAACTACAGACCTGTCAGCCTCATTGATGTCGTAGTTAAAATATTGAAAAGAATAGTCAAAAAAGATCATAATGACATTTGTGGAAATCAACAACTTGTTAAGCAAGGAACAACATGGTTTCGGAAAACGTTTATCTTGTACAACAAAGATTATAGCAAACGATAAAGGCTCTAGACAACAAAAAATTAGTGGATGATATCTACATAGACTTCAGCAAAGCATTTTACAAGGTGCCAACAAATAAACTGCTATTGAAGCTAGAAAATCTCGATATCGCCGTTCCTCTACCAAAATGTCTTAAGGATTTCCCAGTAGATCGTAAACAGAAAGTAAGAGTAAATTCCGAGCGCTTCACTTGGAGACTAATGTATTGTGGAATGCCGCAAAGTTATGCCTTAGGTCCCTCACTGTTTGTGCTGTATGTAAGTGAACTCCCAAGAATAGTAGAGTCCCCAATGTTGTTATAGGCTAACGTTGAAATCTGGCGAGACATAACGAGAGATGCAGATGCGTGTACACTTTAGGCAGACTTAAATATTGGGATCAACTAGTTTAAAGAGTGGCTGATGCCTATCAACGCGGCGAAGAGTGTCTCAATGTACTGTGGGGATACAAACGTAAGTAGGTACAATATGAGGGAAGTGCCAAAACCCGTGGTACGATCTCCCAAGGATCTTGGGGTGACAGTGATTCACGATCTTAAGACTACGGTCCATTGTCCGAAGGTCGAAGCTAAGGGGTTTAATATCTTATGGTCTTTAAGAAGGACATTCACCAAGTTAGATACTACCACGTATAATACAGTATACACAACCTTAGTGAGAACTAAACTTGAAAGCTGCACCCTCCATTTGAAAAACGATTCGGATACCCTAGGACAAGTACAGAAGGAGGCTGCCAGTGCAAGTTCAGAACTACGGGACATACTATACATAGAGCGGCTTGAAAAGCTGAACCTCTTTACTCTGTAACATCTCAGTTTAAGGCATAATCTGATTTCGATGCATAGAATGCCAAGAAATGATTTTGAACCTTGAGGGAACTGAGTTATTGACTGATATATCCTAGTTTGTCTAAAATGAAGAAATAACATACAAAATATTCTCCTCTTATTTTATCTAAATACGCTGGCTGACATTGACATTTCATTTGAACCATTTGAACCATTCCGTGTCTTAAACGATGGACTGAATGATAAAATGCCTTCTCTATCTTCTCTTCCCAGAACTAATCATTGCCGGGGCCACAACGAGTGGTTTAAAAGCTATGATCAGGTAAAGTGAGAGTGGTTTACCGTTTTTCTCATCAAATCCTCAATGAAGGGAACGCTGTTAATGAACAAGTGCTATCAGCCTTGTCAGTGAACACTATCAAACAGAACACAGATCATCACTGGAAAAAAAGCTATAAGGTTTAACACAGGTCCACTGACCTACTATCCTTTCTGTAGACTGGAGACGGAATATAAGCTGTATCACTGAGAGGATTCATGCGTTTAACATCGTCTTTCCTATATAGTTCAGGTTAGCCCATTAAATGTGCTAAAACTCTAGATCCTCTGTAATCTTATCAACTTCTTGTAAGGCAAAACTCTCACGAAGTTTCATTTCAATCGTATTAGTTGTGATTGGTTTACAACAAGGTCACACTGAGATTCTTCAAGGCTGTCAGTTGTGGCGCAGTAGATTGTCTGATTTGATCCCAAGCTCGGGGTGGATTTATACGCAACGTCTTAATCTGAGGTTTGTGTTATTGCTGATTGTTGTCCACTATTGTCCATAATAACTGCAAGTGGATTGTATGCGCCTTCTGGCTTGTTGACAGATTTCTTTTGTTTTTTCCAACCCTCCTCACTAACGATATTCTGA